TCAGTTCCAAAACCTCCTACGGCTGCGGGAGTTTGGCCGGCTTCTGCTGCAGCGTTTTCCCCAGCGGTTCCTCTTGTCTGCTCTGCGGGGGCTCGGATGTTGCCGTTCCCTTGGCCGAGAGGGTTTTCTTCCTCATGGACGTTGGCTTGGTCTGTCATAGCTGATTCAATCTCTCCGAAATCCGATCTAAAACTGAATATTTCTGTTAAGCCCCCTACCTGGGGCGCCAATTGTTGATATGTGAATATCGACAAGGGACAAAACAGTAACTTAGATCGAAAATTCGGGTTTTGTTAGATCGGTTGAGAATACAATTGAGTTCGTTTATATGAAGATAACAAACGAACTAAGACTTAGAAAATTAAGAAGCTAATGAATGCCTTGAGCTCTCAATCTCTAAGCCTCTCGGGAATTCCTTGCGTCTTCTGCTGTCGATTCCTCTTCCTTTATATATGTCTTCTAAGTCGGTCTTCGTGAGTCTTCTCTGCGATATGGGACCGAGAAGACTTTCCTTTTCTCTCGGTCTTTTTCCTTTTCTCATGGTAGTTTCCTTTCTTCTCATTAGTTTCCTTTTTCTACTCGAAAACTTTCTATTTTCCTCCGAACTCAGAGAACTTCTCGGTTCCTTTGAGAAGTTTCTGACCGACTTCGGCTCGTTGGGCTACGTTCAGCCCAAGAACTCACTCGGCCTAATATTCCCGGTACATTTCCTTCGTAAATCGGGTTTACGTCGTGCCGATCTCGGTTTGTACCGGAGAAAACCGGAGGTGCGGTTTTCACCTCCAACAGAGACGTATAGTCTAAAGTTCTCATCTTCTTGGTGAGGAGTGGTAAGCCAAGATATCTAACTGGGAGCTCATCAAAAGCAAAAGCAAACCTCTGGGATAGGAGAGTTTTAACAGAATCTGAAACTCTTTCCAGGTACACAGTAGATTTCTCCAAGCTAATCTTTAAATCAGACATCTTGGAGAATTCATCAAAGACCTTTTAAATTCCCTCTATTGATCTTAAAGTACCATCAGAGAAGATCATTAAATCATCTGCAAAGCATAGGTGAGTGAGATCTATGTTCGAACATTTAGGATGAAAACCAAACTTGTTTTGACTTGCTGCTTTGTCCAACATTGCAGAGAGTACATTCATGCGTATAACAAACAGGTATGGGGAGAGAGAGCAATCTTGCCTTAAACCTCATGAACTACCAAAATATCCAGCTAGCTCCCCATTCACCTAGACTGAGAATGAGGCAGTGGATATATAAAGTCTGATCCAGTGGATAAATTCTTCAGGAAAGTTTAAAGCTTCTAAGATGTTCAGAAGTCAGAAGGAAACTCCATTGAACAGAATGAAAGGCTTTAGAGATATCAATCTTCAGAGCACACTGAGATGAGATTGAGCTAGAAGTAGATTCTCTATTAGAAGCCTGACTTGCACAAATGCATATTGATTAGGAGCTATAAACCGTGGGAGGGTTTGCTTCAGCCGGTTTGCCAATATTTCAGAAATAATCTTGTAAAGAACATTGCAACAAGCAATGGGTCTATAATCTTTCATATGCTTAGCTCTTTCTTTCTTTGGTATTAAAACAAGAATTGTAGAATTGAATCCTTTAGGAAGAAATCCTTCAATAAAAAAAGACTATATACCAACAACAAGATCTTTTCTAATAATTGGCCAGCTTTCTTTGAAGAATTCAACAGTATAACCATCAGGATCTGGGGATTTATTTGCAGCCATAGCAAACAAAACTTCCTTCATCTCTATTTCGTAGACACTCCTTGTCAGCTGCAGTTGCTCCTCTGAAGTACAACGATATGTCAATAAGTCGCTCAGCTCCTCTACACTGGTGGTTTGAAAGTTCTCTTGAGCATGGTTCAGAAAAGATTTAAAATGGTTTACTGCCCTCTCCTTTATTTCATTCTGTTCTGTGATAAACTCTATTATTTTTGTCTCCAAAATTCATCCAGTGCAGCTTTTCCTTTTGCTGCAAGTAACGTTCTTCAATAGAAGCATTCTTCTCCCACTGATCGAAAGCTGCATTTTCAGCTTGCTGAGAACTCTCCGATGGCGCTAGTAAATTCTGCTCTTGTGTGGCACAAAGCAGATCAAAATCCTCCTTAACTTGCTTCGAAATACCACTCAGTGTCTCCCTAGAGATTCGCCTCACAATAGGCTTAAGATTCTTCAGCTTTTTAGAAAATCTGAACAGAGCAGAGGTGGAGTGATATAAAGGAGGAGTAGAACCCCAAAACTCCTGCAATTCACTCTTGAACCTCGGCATGGCTGCAATAACATTGGAGAACTTAAACGGTCTCGTTGGTTTTGAGTTGTTAGGTCTCACGTGAAACCCGCATCTCAAGTGGTCCGAACAACCACCTCCTTCAAACACAGAATAAGAATGCCTGTAATAATGTAACCAGTGATCATTTACCAGAAGTCTATCGAGTTTTCTGCATATCAATACTTTAGTTCTTTTGTTACTCCAGGTAAAGGTAGAACCATGATAGCCCATATCAGTTAGAGTACCATTACGAACAGTAGCTCTGAAGTCTTCTATGCCAACATGAAAATCAGAGATTGCATTTGGAGGAAAATATTCATCTCTAGACAAAATCTCATTAAAATCTCCCATAACCATCCATTGCATCCTACCATAGACTGGAGATGTAAAATGGTTTCTCAAATCACTCCATAGCTCTTTCCTCTCCTCCATGAAGTTAGATCTGTATACGAAAGTACACAGGAATTTCTCTTCTTCACTCGGTAATTTCACCAAAACTGTAACCAACTGACTACTCCTGTAAACCGACGTTAGACGAACTGACTTCCTCCAAACAACCTAGATCCGACCGAGTCTATGATGCTCATAGTTATTTAGGAATGACTATCCCGGAAACACTCGTGCAACAATATCCTCTTTTGATTCTTTAACTCTTGTCTCCAAAACACCACCAAACCAGAAATCATTTTCACGACACCAACTACTCAGAACTTTTTGTTTTTTCTTTTTATTCAAACCTCTAACATTCCAAAAGAAAACTGACATTAATGATTGTTTCTTTTGGGTTTAGACTTTTTCCTCTTTCCGGAGCTCCTTGGAGGAGACACCATTGGCCCTGAATTCGGTTTTGTGAGTAGATTTTGATCCCTTCAGGAGAAATACTCTGCCTCCCACTGTTGCATTTGTCTTGTCTTCCCTCTTGTCTACCGCGTCAACATGTGCGGACATTGAGTTGGGAATCACTTCTGTATACTCCCCATCTTCTAACTCATCATCCTCTGTCTCACCTAGCTTCTCTTTTCTCGCAAGAGAAGCAAATCATGAACTTAACACTGTTTTCTCAGATTCTACTGTGCCTATATGAGATGAAAGTTTTCAATTTTAGTTTGTTTGTGAGCTATCTTTGCCCGCGATTTCACCTTTTCCCAAATTTTCTCCTTAGTACCTTGATTTATATTCATCTCAGCGGCCGGATTTTGTCTGCTTTCTTTTCAACATGGTCCTTTGTTGGAGTATTGAGAACCGGTGTGGCTCCCTTTTCCCCAACAATCGATGTTTGTGGCTCCATTCGCATTTCACTGGTCTTTCTTGCAGGAGAGGTAACCTTTATCTGGGAACTAGGTGTTAACCTCTATTCTCTTTGTATGATCACTTTGTCGCCCGGAGAAGCTTGACATTTGGCTGATACATGTCCCCACTTCATGCAGGAGTTGCATTTAGGTGATAACCAAGGAAAATCGTAATGCACTACAATATTAACACCCTTTTGTGACTTGAAACTGAAGCACTCTGAGTGCTTCTTTTTCATATCAACCTCGATAAAAATCTTTGCTTCTTCAAAGCTTTTGGCCCATAAAGTACCAGGATGCAGCTTCTTTGGCACCCCAAAGGACTGGTTAAGAAGCTCAAACCTTTCATTAGAACATTTCTCTCGGGACATTCCTCAAAACAGCCTACATGGGGATTATCGTCACCTCCGGTTGAGCTTCCTCAACTAGAGGGCTCCATTTAGGCATTATCATCGGGATGTTTTTGATGCTCCACATCCCTCTCCTCAAGACGATAATTCCGCACTGCAGCATCTAAAATTTTGAATTATATCGTAGTGTCGTCGACAACAAAAACATCTATTTTTATAGATTTTTTTCCCGAGAGATCAAATCTTATTAACCGTCATGTGTATCAGCCCAACGTGTGGAGCTTTAGAAACGAATTTTCCGGCTATGCAATCCTCCCAGAGTGGGGTGCATTCTCGAACACACTGTCAGGCACTTGGATCGTCCCCATGCCGTCAACTTCTTCAACAACAACATCGTATTTGTGCAGTCTACTTTCCTCCAAAGCAACTGAGGCCCATGATTTCTTCCCTTCTCTCCTTTCCCACTTCTCCTTCTACAATACCGTGACTCTGAGCAGAATCATCAACCGAATCAGATTGATGAGATCCCTGTGAGACACTGTTATGACTTTTTGAAACACTTTCCTTAGGAGGCAAGGCAGAGCTATCAACTTGGTTTTCTGACACATGTGCTTCAACTGGTTCCTCCGCCACCTGAACCCTACTCTCCTCCACCCTCACCTCTTCACCCACCAATGGTGTGGTCACCGATTCCAGCACCGCCATGGTGGAAAGCCCTAGATTGGGCTAAGCTTTTTCAAAACCCTTAATCACTTTTTGGGTCGCCTCTTTGCTGACGTGGCAAAAATCTTTAAAAAGCTGTGGAACTTCTCTTTCTTCCTTTTTTTTACCTGTTTCCTAAAACTATTATTAATTTTTACTACCTTTTTTCAGTATCGTAATTGCATAACTTTTAAAATTAAAATAGAAAATAGAGAGATATTATAGATACAATTTATTAGGTTTTAGGTCTTTCTCCGGCTTTCTCTTTCTCTCCATCAGTCCACCGCTCTCCATCTTTCGCTTTAATTCTCTGATTATATATAACGCATAGATTGTGATTTTAATTTTGAATAGCAAAGTTATTCAACCAAAGTCACTATGGAGAGGATAAACATTCCGGCGGAGTTGGTAGAGGAGATACTCTCTAGGGTTTCGGCTAAATCTCTAGCACGATTCCGGTCCACATGCAAAGGTTGGAGAGCTTTATTGAAAAGTGGGAGCTTTGCTGAGAGGCAGTCTTCTAAAGCACCAAAGGAGTCTCTGATTATTATGTTGATGGATTTTAGGGTTTACTTAGTGAGGATCAATCTTGATGGAATTCACAACAACCTTGCACCGACTTTTAAGTATCAACTATACTTTGAAGATCCCCTTTTTGACTCTTTACAAGTCGATATACGTAGGGTTTTTCACTGTGACGGCTTATTGCTATGCACCACTAGAGACAATAGGCTTGTGGTTTGGAATCCATGTTTAGGAGAAACCAAGTGGATTAAACCCACTAATAGCTACGACTACTCCGATAACTATGCTCTCGGTTACGAAAACCAATCTTCCTGCAAGAAACACAAAATATTGATGATGTATCCTGGATGCCATTATTACCATTCAGGTATCTACGATGTGTTCGAACTCTATGACTTTGCCTCTGATTCTTGGAAGGAACTTGATGTGCCTACTAAATGGCGCTTACGATATAGTTCGTATGATCAAGATGGCATGTCTCTTAAGGGAAATACTTATTGGCTTGCTAATGATTATACTAATGATTTCTTACTACGTTTTGACTTTTCATTAGAGATATTTTCAAGTATAGCTCTTCCTCATTGTTTTCCATTTATGGTTAAGGAAATATCGGTGGTTAGAGAAGATCAGCTTTTTCTGTTAACTACGGATTCCGTGAATCCAGCAGATTCACATGTATGGGTGGCAACTAGCACCGGGTCAGACATGTCATGGAGCAAGTTCCAAACATTGAAAGCCAATCTTGAGGGTTATAACTCTGGGCTGAGTTTTTTGCCAGAGGAGCAGTACAAATTTCTTCTAGTGTGCTACAATGACTACTCGAGCGACAACAAAATATTACACATTGTAGGAGAAAATGAACACATACGAGTGGATCTTGGTGGAAGAAACTCTAAATGCATATTCTCAGTTCTCAATTATGTTCCAAGTTTAGCTCAAATCCAACAAGCAAAAGGAAGGCACCAAGGACGTGACTTGTAATTGTCACACTAATTTATGCAGTATTTATCTGATTTTAATCCAAGTCTCTTCTGCTTGTTTTCTTTAAGAACTTTCATATTGTTTCAGTTTCAAGATTTTTCTTGGTTTTATTTTCCGAGGACTAACTTTCACTATATCCGGAGGCGGAGGACTATTTCAAACCTATTTTGTAGAGAGATTATGCTTCCCGAATATTTATTGTAAATTGTTTACTCAAATTTGAATATGCAAACAAACAAAAAACATATTGATGGCTCATCTCATCCAATATGTATCTATGCATAGTTGCTGAAATAAACTTGATGTAGTCGTTTGTTCCGTTACCACTATATTAGCCTGAAACATGTATAAAAAACACTTTTAATTTTCTCTTGGGAGACTCTCTGCAATAACCTACGAACCAAAATTAGAAACACAACCAATGATTAGGCAAAAAAGAAGAAAATTCTTACTTTCATAAGAGAAGTTTGTAGTTTTACATTAAGAGCTAGTTTCTTAAGCTTGTTCGTTGCTCTGGAGTTGCGTCATCCAAATATCTCTTGCAAATCATCTTGCAAAGTTCTTCTGAACTATGTCCCAAGTTTAGCTCAAATCCAATAAGGTCCACTTGTTGGGGAAGACAAAAGGAAAGCACCAAGCATGTGACTTGTAATTTTCAATCATACTAGTTTATGCATTATCTAGCCACCCAAGTCTCCTTTTCTTGTTTTCTTTAAGAACATTCATATCGTTTCAGGTTTAAGATTTTCTCTGGTTTGCTCCCGGTTTTATCATTCCTTTTCAACATGCAGTTTCAATTTTCCGACGACCGACTTTCACTATATTCCTAAGGCTACAAGCGTCAAATATAATTGTTTCAACAAAAATAAAATGAAAATATGAAAGCATAAAGATTACAAAAAATCAATCAATCGCTACAAAAGAATCAATCGTCAAGTAGAAAACAAAGGGAAGACGAATAAATGGGATCATGCACTTCGTTTTAACCTTTCTTGGAACTCAAGAAAAGATATCTCTTTCTCCATTCTCATCCCCTCTCTAAACTTATATATGAACTCGTCGGCTCTTTCGTCCACCCTAAGGTGTGGCGATGCAGCCACCACTCTCCTCCAAGCAACTTCTATCGAATCAACAATCTCCTGCGGCCCCTCTTCTTCTTCTTTTTTCTTCTTTCGTCCCAAAATTTTCTCCTCTCTATTGATCTTCCCCTGCCTCCATCGTTGGCTTTGGTATTCGCAGATTTGCCAGTAGTTACTCTCATTATGCCTTTTAATACACTTTGTTTTGGCGAAAGAACGAGAGAAGAATTCCAGGAACCGAGACCCTTGTCTCCGGCCATGGCTATGACTATGACTATAGATATAGTCGTTGTTGAAATGAGTTCGAGAAATAGAGTTTTGAAGGTACCTTGTCTTGAAAGGAATGATGAGACGGTGAGAGATGACACGGAGGAGACGATAAGTCGAATCTCTGATTGATGCAGCAATCTCTAGGTCTCTAAATTTGGATCTGATCTTCTTAGTGAATCGCTTCCATGTCCGTTTGGCCACATTTTTCTTCTTGCTAAAGCACAAAAGAGCCATTAAATAAAACAAAAATCTTCGAATATCTTTTGTTTGTTTTCTTACAGAGTATCACAGTATTGAGGGAAGATTAGTCTTTGATATAGAAGGATCTGATAACTAAGATTTGTACTAACGTAGGCTAATTTATTCTCTTCATATATATCATACATATATATGTAACCATTACCGGTCCGTATCATACATATATATGTAACCATTACCGGTCCGTATTTCAATGAAAGACTAATAATATATGCTTCCCATTATCTGTCACCACCTCTCTAACAATTGATACTTTACTTGAAGGTGATAATAATAGACCTTCGTTGTTTGTTAAATTACTAAAATGGCATTGCTTTGGGATAAAGAAGGGAATAGAAAGTGGGGTTGTCTTAGCTTCTTTGGGATGGCAAAGATGGGATTCTAGCTAAAAAGTATAACTTGTTGGCAATTTATTATGAGCCTCTTAGCAAAAAAAAATTATAGATAAATTATGAACCAAACCAACTTTCGGTTGAAACAACTTTTATGGCTATATCTCATAAAAATAAAAATAAAAATCAAATTACACATACTTCTAAGTACTGTATACGATCTAATTGGCGGAGCTAAGTGGAGCTATAGGGTAAATTACAAAAAATTAAAACTTGAGCTTAGTAATGCATGTTATTGTTAAAAGAATTGGTTTGAAAATTATTTGATCGACTCCTCTAATTCCATGTTCGATGCCTTCCTTGACTCTGGTTAAAAAGATTTTCTCGCTTAGTTCCTTCGCGTACAACACAAAAATTTATTTAAACCCAATTGTTAGTACGGTTTTCTAGTTCAATTTCAATATTTGTAACTTAAAGGTTATATTACAATTGTTAATTGTCGTAAAACATATTAGTGGATGTTGCAAATAAAAACTTACATTGAACAGAGTCTAATCTCTTACAATTAGATTAAACAACTATATGTTCCTCACGTCACGTAACATTAACAACCCTTGATTAAAATGTCTATTTTAAGATAAATCTTAATCATATTTTTTATAAAAAAAATATTAAAATACATAAAAAGGCAGAGAAACGTGGTAAGAGAGAAGGGAAGAGCGCCAAAGTCTGAGGCAAATTGTATGGTAGCTTCAAACATTCTTAAAATGGCGATCTTCCCCCAAAAAAAAATATTATCTTTCCACTAGACCATTCTCACATTTCTTCGTATCGTTATTTCAGACTCAAATACATTTTTGATGCGTGGATACGTTTTGATAGTCTAGAGAGCATTGGATGAGAGTTAAATTGAGGATCAGGCTGGAGAAATTAGGAATCGACGACAGATGCATCTATGAAGACAGGTGAATTACAACAATTGATACTTCTTGAGTTTATCCGACGTTCTTCTCTCGGGTTTCTCAGATGGAATGGCAGATCCTGCTAGCTGTTATGTCTATCACGAGCGTGACATCGACCAAGTTTGTTTCTTTCCTTTTTCTTTTCTTTCTTATTACCCTAAAAACGTTATACATTGAAGACATTGTTGAAACTATCATGCGATTATTATTTTGTTCACGGTCTTCAATAAAATGATAAATAAAATGCCAACAAAGAATTATGTGTAATTTGCAACTTTAGGTTTGATGAAGAAAAATTTCTTGATTAAATAAATAATGCTATTGAATTGGCCCCCTCATGAAGTATGTGATGGAGTTTGCAATGTTTTTGGCTTATTCACGCTCTCTTATAATTCACATTTTGATTATAGGCACTTATCATTTTGAAAAAGGGAACTCAATTAGTCAAGTACAGTCGAAAAGGGAAACCTAAATTCCGCGCATTCAGGCTCTCTCCGGTATATTCTTCTTCTAAACAAAAAAAAAGTGCAATGTTCACTGTGTTTTTATAGGTTATCCTAAGTTCCTAACCATATATATTAATGTTGATGATAGGATGAAAAAACGTTGATTTGGTTTTCGCATGGAGAAGAAAAAGGCTTGAAGTTATCTGAGGTTTCTCGAATCGTCCCTGGACAAAGAACTGTGAGTTTAACTTGATTATTGAAAAAAAAAAAACTTGATTATTGAATCTTTTACTTCAAAAAAAAAAAAAACAAAAACAAAATCAAAGTCTTTTGTGGTTTCTAACAAATTTTAATGAACAGGCTGTTTTTAAGAGATTTTTACGTCCAGAGAAGGATCACTTATCATTTTCACTTTTATATAATAACAGAGAAAGATCTCTTGATCTGGTTAGTAAAGATTACCACTTTAGCATTCTTGAACTTTTCATATAGAATTCAAATTCACATCTGTATTTCCCTTCTTTTTTTTTTTTTGTTTGACAGATTTGTAAAGATAAAGCTGAGACAGAGGTTTGGTTTGCTGGCCTTAAGTCTTTAATTGAAAAAGGTCGTAATAGACGCGCAAGAAGTGAGATCCCTGAGGTATGTTCTTGAGTTTTTCTATATTTCTTATAATTTAAGGCCGGTCCAACGTTTAAACCCTACTTCAAATGAAAAAGCTTGTAAAAAAAAGCCTTAAATGTGTTCTCTCAACTTTTGAGTAATATATGTGAAGTCCGAAGCCATGACTTCCTTTGCTTATGCTCTGAACTAAGTCTATATTTACAACTAATTCTTTTGTTTTTTTTCAGATACATGACAGTGACTGCTACTCCACTGGTCGTCAGTCAATAGACGTAGTCCCAAACAATATTCCACGAGGTAGAACTTCGATTGATTTAAGCTATCACAACAATACTCCAAGCAATTTTGGTGGCTCAGATGTTGGATATGACCGTGGAAACATGTTAAGACCAAGTACTGATGGTTTTCGGATCAGTGTCTCGAGCACACCAAGTTGTTCAAGTGGAGGATCTGGTCCAGATGATATCGAATCATTAGGTGATGTTTACGTTTGGGGTGAGGTCTGGAGCGAAGGGATATTACCAGATGGGACAGTTAGCAAAGAAACAGTGAAAACAGATGTGTTAACTCCAAGACCCTTGGAATCAAACGTTGTTCTTGATGTTCACCAGATTGTTTGTGGCGTAAGGCACGTTGCGCTTGTGACAAGACAAGGAGAAGTGTTTACATGGGGAGAAGAAGCTGGAGGTAGGCTTGGACATGGTATTCAAGTCGACATTAGTCGTCCAAAACTTGTTGAGTTTCTTGCTCTGACCAACATAGACTTTGTTGCTTGTGGAGAGTATCATACTTGTGTTGTTTCTACATCTGGAGACTTGTTTTCATGGGGAGATGGAATCCACAATGTTGGGCTTTTAGGACATGGTAGTGATATTAGCCATTGGATACCAAAAAGAGTCTCTGGTCCTTTAGAAGGTCTTCAGGTGCTTTCTGTTGCATGTGGCACGTGGCATTCAGCCTTAGCAACTGCAAATGGGAAGCTATTCACTTTTGGTGATGGTGCGTTTGGCGTTTTGGGACATGGAAACAGAGAGAGCGTTTCGTATCCTAAAGAAGTACAATCGTTAAATGGTTTGAAAACGGTGAAAGTTGCTTGTAGCGTTTGGCACACCGCAGCGATTGTCGAGGTTATGGGTCAAACAGGTTCGAGTATGTCATCTAGGAAGTTGTTTACTTGGGGTGATGGTGACAAAAACAGATTAGGACATGGAAACAAAGAGACCTACTTGCTTCCAACTTGTGTCTCTGCACTTATTGATTACAACTTCCATCAAATTGCTTGTGGACATACATTTACTGTCGCACTCACAACTTCAGGACATGTTTTCACAATGGGAGGGACGTCACATGGTCAACTAGGTAACTCAATCTCTGATGGTAAACTACCTTGCTTGGTGCAAGATCGATTAGTTGGAGAATTCGTGGAAGAAATCGCTTGCGGGGATCACCATGTCGCGGTTTTGACATCAAGAAGTGAAGTCTTCACATGGGGAAAAGGTGCTAATGGAAGATTAGGACATGGAGATACAGATGATAGAAGAACACCAACTTTGGTTGAAGCCTTGAGAGACCGTCATGTAAAAAGCTTATCTTGCGGCTCAAACTTCACATCCAGTATATGCATACATAAATGGGTCTCCGGAGCAGATCAGTCAATCTGCTCCGGATGTCGCCAAGCATTCGGTTTTACCCGAAAAAGACACAATTGTTATAACTGTGGTTTAGTTCATTGTCATGCTTGTAGTTCAAAGAAAGCTTTGAAGGCAGCATTAGCTCCAACTCCAGGGAAACCGCATCGCGTATGCGATGCATGTTACAGCAAACTTAAAGCTGCGGAGTCTGGTTATATCTCTAATGCAAACAGGAATAATATTGCAACTCCTGGACGGTCAATGGATGGATCGGTTAGAGTAGATAATACAACAAGGTCATCGAAAGTTCTCTTGTCAACAATTACAGACCCAGGCAAGTCGTCTAGGTCTGGATTTAAACCTGATTCTTCTAATGTACGTGCCTCACAAGTTCCATCTCTCCAACAACTTAAAGACATTGCATTCCCGAGTCCGATTCAAAATGCTTTTAAACCTGTTGGTCCTGCTGCTGTTCCACCGCGACAACTAGCTGGACTAGTACCATCGCCTACACCTGCAAGATCTTCCTCGCCTTATGCAAGAAGATCGAGCCCTCCACGCACTTCTGGATTTTCGAGAAGCGTTATTGATAGTTTGAAGAAGACTAATGAAGTTATGAACCAAGAAATGACAAAATTGCAGAGTCAGGTATCTTTATGTTGTGTCCTATGTTTTCAGTCACCATAGAGTATAATGAATCTAACTCATTTTTTTCCTTAACTTTTAGGTTAAGAATTTGAAACAGAAATGCAATAATCAAGGAACAGAGATCCAAAGGTTCCAAAAAGCAGCTAAAGAAGCTTCTGAATTAGCTGCAAAACAATCTTCCAAGCATAAAGCAGCAACAGAGACATTAAAATCTGTTGCAGAACAGGTTTGCTATGTTTTTTTTATTTGCTCAAAGAAACTTTTTTCCATCATATAATTTGTTTTTTCTATCTTTAGTTGAAAGGATTGAAGGATAAATTACCTCCTGAAGTATCAGAGAGTGAAGCTTTTGAATCCATTAACTGTCAAGCTGAAGCTTATCTAAATACAAACGAAGTATCAGAAACAACTTTACTCACAACTTTGAGACTTGATCAACAAGAAACATCTCCTTCTACAAACACACAAGATCAAAAGATTGATGAACAAGTACCCTCAAACTCAAGTATAGCCGAGACAACGAATTCATCGAGGCCGGTATCAACAGAATCTTCATCATCAAGAACAGGTGGCAAGGAAAGTAAAGAACAGTTTGAACCTGGTGTTTATGTGACTTTTGCGGTAGACATTAATGGCAACAAGATCTTCCGACGAGTTAGATTTAGGTAACTTCTTCTCTTTTCTCTATGGTTTTTGTAGAAATATGTTGTCAAACTCTTCTTTTTTTTCTGTTTTGTAGTAAAAAGAGATTTGATGAGCATCAAGCAGAAGATTGGTGGACTAAAAATAAAGATAGGTTGCTTAAGTGGTATAGTCCAAATTCATCATCATCATCAAATCCAACGGCTTCTGATTCACCTGTTGCTCCACAACCACTTTCCGAACCACCATCCGAACCACCGTCCGATCCTTCAGTACCTGAGCAAAGCAACGACAAGGAACCAGATTCTGAAGTCTAAGCATGTGAGTAAGCTATTATTTTTGTCATGTGTATCAGTTATAGAGACCAAATGGAGAATTTGAGGTGTTTATTGAAAAGAGATTTTGAAAAAAAAAAAAGTTACAATTGTAGTGCCTTATTAATTTATATGAAAAGTAATTGAAATAGGATTGTAATTGCTAGGTCCTTTGTACAACTTCATCTCTCTATTTGACGCTACTTTTTGGGATTCTAACACATAAACCGATAATATAAGAGCTTGTGTGGTGCAAACCAAAATTTAAAGAGAGAACGTTTAGATTCGTAAGATTTTATTCATTCAATATCCTTAAAGATGAAAAGTAAAACCTTTATCACTTTGTAAGTTGATTATCGAAGACAAATCTTTACTAATACTTGTTTATCCTGAAAGATGCATATATGTACAAATAGAATAAATCAATACATGACTCCGATACTCTCATGGAAACATTAAAGGTCAATTATTTATCACTTTCAAGTAAAGTATCGATACATCATTCTCTGCCAAACAAAAACCTAGGAGAGAAATTTTTTATAAAAATATTCTTCTTCTTTTTAATAGTAATTGCGTTTTAGCAAGAAGAAAAAATTGAAAATGTGGGTTATAATTGGCACTTGGCAAATAGTTTATTCTCTCCAGTATATAATTGGTATATCCCAGTTTTAGATTTTGATATGTAAACGTGAATGTATGGGTTATATAACCACTTGATTCTTCTGCTCACTGTATAGTTTTGGTTTCGTGGGTCACACGTAAGGTTCTCAATCTATTCGTTGATTGTAATTTTGTAAACTATGAATCACTCTAGCAATAACCCATACGCAAGGAAGATGTTATTGTTGGCATAATAGGTCTCCTCTCTAACTCCTTATAAGAAATAGTTATCACCAAATGTAAACACCGATATGAAGTCTAAATACATATATCATAACCATAAATCTGAGGCTCGTAGCACTGTAGTGAAAGATAATCCTCGGAAAAACTAAACAACATGGAACTAAGTTCCTAAATAAAACAAGGAAAAGAGACAATTGCAAACACATATTCTGCGCTTTCATTTTTACTTAATCCTTAAGAAGTGTACCTTGTTGGATTTGAGCAAAACTTGGGACATAATTCAGAAGAAATTGGCAATATGATTCTCGATAATCCCCACCACGAAGAACTTCATGTCGTATGTGTTTATTCCCTAAAGAAATGTGTAAGATTTTGCAGCTGGGGGCCCAAAGACCATTGCAAAATATTACAGCATTGTTCTGCTCGTCGACCAAGAAACTCAACCCAATAGAAAACGAAATTGACCTATCTTCCACGGTTAGTAACTTGATCCATGACGAGACTGGCCCCATACTGGTTGCCACCCATACATGTAAACCTGACGAATTTCCGCCGACTAATAGACAAAGTTGCTCTTCTCTAATCAGTGATAAAGCCGCAAACCTATGAGGAATAGGCAAACTTTGAAACTTCTCTGTTGTAAAATCAAAACTTAGTAAGAATTTATCAGGCCCCCCTTGAGCAATCCAATACGTATTTCCCTTCAGAGATATACCACGATCCAAATTTTGTAATTTCCAATCGGTAGTCACAACAACCCTCCTCCAGAATCGGAGGCAAAGTCATAATCTCGTACGTCTTGATTCGTAATCATGACGAACCACCCTCAAGATTTTGTATTGCTTGCATGAACATTTGTTGTCGTAACCAAGAGCATAGAAGTCGGATTCCTCGTAGCTGACTCTAGGTTTAATCCATTTGGTTTCACCTGAGCATGGATTCCAGACCACGAGTCTATAGTCTCTTGTGGTGCATAGCAATAAGCCCTCGCAGTGAAATACGTTACGTATCTCGACTTCGTGTGAAGAACTGAGAAGCGGATCTTTGAGGTAGAATTGAGCTGCAACCTTAACAGATGAAGCAACGTTGTTGTGAATTCCTTCGAGATTGATCCTTACTAGACAAACCCTAGAATCAATCAACATGATACTCAGAGACTCCTCCTTTGGTGCATTGGCTGAGTGTTTCCTAGAAAATCCCTCAGAATTGTATAAAGCGTTCCAACGTTTCGATGTTGATCGCAAACGTCCTAGAGATTTAGCCGGAACCCTAGAGAGTATCTCCTCCATCAAATCCCATGGAAGGTCTATCTTCTCCATAGCGACTCTTATAAAATAAGATTGCCAATCAAAATCAAAATCTATCAATATAATAAACTCAGAAAACGAGATCGAGAGAGGGAGAGCTATGGAGAGAGAGAACAAACCAGCCCAAGCAAGCAGCGAGAAAGACCTAATCCCGAATTATACAGTAGTTAGGTTTTATTATTTTAAAAAGTAAAAAATGAGCCAAAAAAAAAGACAATTTCCTATTAGTGCAAATATATGTACTTGCAAAAATTATTAAAACTAGAAGAAATTGGGAAAAAATGACAAATATGTTAAAATAGGACGTGTAAAATAGGACTTGTAATAAAAAAATTTTAGCTAAAGTATAATTAAGGAAAACCCTACTATTTCAAAGAGTGCAAGTACTTCAGAAGACAAATGACAAAAAAATGTTACACAGAATCACGCATGCGAATTAGATGAAAAAGTCATCTTCCTCATAGGAGTTCGATCCTACACATGCTAGGAGTAGTGACATTGGAGGGGTTGATGGTTATTGGTTATTTTGCTAGTTTGAATTAGTTTATAAACTTATAAAGTAATTTGACAAACCAACTTTTTTAAAAAAATAACGAAAAATAACATGATTAACAAAAAAAAAAAAGATAACAAGTTGTATACCTGAACAAGAAATGATTTAATAGTCTTTAATTTCATCAGGACTTCCAACAATGTTTACAATTAAACAAAAAAAAAAAATCCAACAAAAAAACAAAAACATATGAAAGTAGAAGGTTGCTTCAATATTCTTCACACCCTCATCCTCCTGAATCTGCAAATGAACCATATGCAAGGAAGATGTTTTTGTTCGCAAAATTGTTTTAGGTCTCTCTCTCCAAGACTCCAACTCTCTATAGAATATAATCTCAAATAAGAAGTATATATAGTGATAAGTTTGGACGAAAATGTAATATCACTAAATGTAATCACTGATATATGAATATAAATAGAGATATCATAAATTAAATGAAACCCATACGGAGGTAGTGAAAGTTTTAATCTACGGAAAAAAAAAAAAAAACCAAACAGCATGGAACGACATTCTTTGTGACTGGATGATAAAGTTGTTCTTTGATTAACATTATTTTCTGATGTTTATATACAGGAGCATGCAATGCAAGTCAAATAATTGATCTTTTTCCAGCGGTTTCAGCTGAAATCGTTGTTCAGGAAGCTAGATTGGAGGACTCACTGCAGCTCCTTCTTCCCGGGATATTCGTTCCCGCTTGATGTTGTCCTGAGAGTAGATAGGTTAATGGCGATGGTAATGGGGTTTTCTGTTCCATCAGAATGCCAGAGGACTTGTTTAATCGCTGTGATTGGTAGCTCAGTAGATGAAACCATCTGCATTGGTAGTGAAGATTTCAAGATTGGAGCTTTTGGTGCAAAGATCAGTCTAAACAATCTTGACTGTTGCTCGTATACTCCTAATCACCATCGCAATTAGACGGTTACTTTTTCATTTAAAACGTGGTCTAAAACTTAAAACCACTAGTTTTCCCATCACAAGTTGCTACAAAATGTGTCCTTACATTTCCTTAATTAAATTGTTTTTATTAGGAGTATATATAAGTAAACAAAATTTTGAAAGTTCCTAAATAAAACAAGGAAAAGAGACAATCACAAATCACATCCCTTTCCCTTTCCCTTTGCGTCCCACAAGAAGTGTACCTTGTTAGATTTGAGCCAATTTTCAGAAGAAATTGGTAATATGATCTGCTTCGAAAACCTCCAAGATGAGGAACCTCATGTTGTATGTGTTTATCTTCTGCCAGAATGTGTAATATTTTATTGCCGGCGTTCCTGTACTGATGGCAACACACTAGAGCATTGTTCTGCACGTCGACTAAGAAACTGAAAGCATGATCAAGCGACGTTGATTCATCTTCCACAGTTAGGAACTTGATCCATGACATAGATGGCCCCGTAGTAAATGCGACCCATACATTAAAATTTGCGTCCTCATCACAACGACCTAATAGACAAAGTTGATCTTCTCTAATCAGTGATAAAACCACACTATCATCACGAACTGGACGAGGAAGACACCGACTTTCAAATTCCTCTGTTGAAAAATCAAAACTTAGTACAAACTCAGCAGCATCTGGCGTCCAAGCAACCCAATAACTATTCCCCTTCACAGATATGCCACGGACTGATCGTGGTAAAAACCAATTAGTAGCCACACCAAGAACTCTCCACGAATTAGAGGTGAATTCATAAATCTCGTGGTTCTTGAATGGTATAACCTGACGATCCATCCTCAATATTTTGTATTTCTTGCACGAAAGAATTGTTGTCGTAACCGAGAGCATAGTAGTTGGATTCCTTGTAGCTGACTCTAGGTTTAATCCACTTGGTTTCACCTGAACATGGATTCCAAACCACGAGTCTATAGTCTCTGGTGGTGCACAGCAATAAACCCTCGCAGTGAAAGACTTCACCTATATCCACTTGTGAAGGACTATAACGCGGATCTTTAAGGTCGAATTGAGCTGCAACCTTAACAGATGGAGCAACGTTATTGTGAATTCCGTTGAGATTGATCCTTACTAGACAAACCCTAAAATCAATCAACATGATACTCAGAAACTCCTTTGGTGCAGTAGCTGAGTGTTTCTTAGCAAATCTCCCAGATTTCACTAGAGCATTCCATCGTTTCGATGTTGATTGCAACCGTGCTAGAGATTTAGCCGGAACCCTAGAGAGAATCTCTTCTATCAAATCCCAAGGAAGGTCTATCCTCTCCATAGCGACTCTGAATAAATAACTTTGCCAATCAAAATCAAAACCTACGAATATATAAACTCAGAAAACGAGAGCGAGAGAAAG